ACATCACAAATGACCTGTCATTAGAACTGAAATCATGTCAGTGCTCAAGAGATGTGACAGAAGAAATCAGATTTACAAGGAAGAATGTGCTTATGGCCTGAAGACGTATCACAAAACAAAGAACTATTCTGCATGTTATATACAAAAGCTCCTGCTGTCACTATCACACATAGTCAGCACCTATGGACTCCTCTCTTCTAGTGGTGTGTTATCTATAATGTATAACTGACCCCTCAGATGCATTGACTCACAGCAGGAGGCAAGATCTGCTACAACTCATGCTCTAGTTTTTAGGACTTTAAGGGGGCATCCATTGTGCATCCACGGCATAAGTCAGTCTCATTCAAACTCAGATGGATTCCAATTTTAGAACACTAGTTTTGAATCTTTCTTCTTTAAAAAAAATTCCTTAACCCCCCCCCCCCAGCACACCAGAGAGAAAAGTTTTACCTCAACCCTTCTGCTAACTTTCATTCTGTAGGGAATATGTAATTCTGTAAAAGGTAAAGGTAAAGGTTCCCCTTGACAATTTTTGTCCAGTCGTGTCCGACTCTAGGGGGCGGCGCTCATCCCGCTCTTCAAGCCATAGAGCCAGCGTTTGTCCGAAGACAATCTTTCCGTGATCACATGGCCAGTGTGATTTAGACACGGAACGCTGTTTACCTTCCCACCGAGATGGTACCTATTTATCTACTCGCATTTGCATGCTTTCAAACCGCTAGGTTGGCGGGAGCTGGGACAAGCAACGGGCGCTCACTCCGTCGCGTGGATTCGATCTTACGACTGCTTGGTCTTCTGACCCTGCAGCACAGGCTTCTGCGGTTTAGCCCACAGCGCCACCACGTCCCTATGTAATTCTGTAGGGGCATTCTAAAGTCCAGTTCTCCCAGTTGTACTGAAGTACCCCAGTCCATTCTACTATCTTAGCATTCTATCACTTGATTCTGCTGTACGTACAAACCAGGTGTAAAGTTTCTTTAACCAGTAATACCTCTTTTAGAAAATATTTGCATATTTTAAAATACTGAGAAGTAATAACATACATACATAGATAAGACACACTATTTTACAGCAAGCAAACAAGGACACAGGAAGATCACCGTGGGAGAGGCAAGACTTTCCCCCCACCATGGTGGAAGAGGCAAACCAAGATATTCGCTCCAGAGAATAGGAATTCTCTGCACTGGATGCAGCCTCCCACAGTCCCCTTAGGAGTCAGTTGTTAATCCGTTGTTGTTACAAAAACAAAGGAAGGCATGTTGGTCCATAAGAATAAAATAAATTTAAAAATCCACAGGCAGATAATACCTTTATCAGACAGGCCAACCACAAATCCACAATAGTATTACAATAGTATTTCAAGTTCTCCTAAACATTCATCAGGCAAGGGGTTAAAATTTAAAGAGGAGGAGAGAAGTGTCATGTGCCAAAATTTGGCTGGATGTTTTAAACCATAAGGTCTTCCACATATACAAGCACTAATACTCTCAATGTACTTCAAACTGATTCTTAACTTTAAGCTTAAGCTCCACCTTTCCTTATATGACAGCTATGTTCTTTGTCTTCTGCTGGATGCCTGGGAAAAAACTTGTTTCACCTAAGACAAGAAGGAGACATCTGAACTATTATTTTTCTTGCCCATCCAGAGATAAGTCCCATTAAACCCCTTGGCACACCTACTAGTAATTCATCAAGACTGCACTCTACATTTAAATTAAATGGCAGATCTCATGGCTTAAGACATCTAGCCAAAATTTGCATTTTTATGCTTCTCTCTTCATTTTTTACCACTTTGTTTGATGAAGAGTTCTGGAACAAAGAATGATGGAACAAGTAATCATGTTCCCTGGAGACACCTGTTCTGCAAGGAGAACTAAGGGTCTTTAATGAATATTTCTCAGAACTTCTGTGGAAAGCCACTTGAGTCCAAAGTACTGTAGATATATGGAGTCAGTCAAATTGCTCTGCCATTTATGTTGTACCCCCACCATGTTTCCTTTTACATGGACCAGCACTCAAATGTCTTTGTACTTGAGACAGTTTTTCAATCGGACAGCTACTGAATCAAAGTGATGCCGGATTAATGACAATGTGGAATGGACTTATCAATACTGTAGATTTAATTCATTCTATTAAAATGGCAAACAATGGGAGTCACCCAGTATTTGAAAATATTCATTTGTTTGTTGAGATTTAGTTCTTACAAGACAAATACTGACAAATTCCATTTATAATATGTGCATGGCTGTGTGTGTTTTTAGGACAGTATGAGCAGAACTCTCCATACCCATAACATTTCAAAGGGGTAGCAATGATGTCCGGGTTGTCAGGCATCCCTCTTTCTTTTTCTGTCTCTGGAAAAAGAGGCTAGTCCTCACAGCTGTAACATGTGCTACTGCAGCATTTAAAACTCAAAGGAAAAAGTGAGCGCTTTGAAGACCTGACCATTTTTATGAGAGACAGTCAAATGCTTTTCGTTCAGGAAGTGGGGAGGGGGCTGGGTGGGAAATTGACTGAGTTGATGACAGGTTGAAGGGGCACAGGAGAAAAATTGCCCTGATGACTGAAGATCTGGCTTGACACTGACATTCACCAATACCACATAACTGTATCTTGCCCCATGACCCATTGTGGCCTCAACCTCTTGTATCCCCCAGCCCTTTGTGGTTTATCTTCAGTCTGCAGACTTTGACATTTAAGAACCGATATCCTGAGCTGCCCCGTGACCTCCTCTTCTGGGCCAGTGGAACAAAAAACATCAAAAAAGCTTCAATGGGTTCAAGAGGAGAGTTGGATACACTTCAGAAGCAGACAGTCATTTAGATACTGGTATCTGAATGATGACCTGTTTGGGTCAAGGCAGCCATTTTTCCTGCTACTTTTTCTTCTTTCCACAAGTTATGATCCAGGCATCAGTATGATTCTGATGTATCTTTATAGAGAACCAAAACTTGGAAAAGTTTGGTTTTGGGACAAAAAAACAACAGAATCCCCTAGCCAGGATAGCCATGCTGATTGGGGGAATGCTGATTGGGGAATTCAAGGAGATGTGGCCCTGGACATAAAACACTGATTATAATTGTGTACTATCAAAAGTCAATTTCAGCTTATACCAATGCTTGCCAGGATATCCTCTGTATAAAGTAGTCAGAAGTGGCTTATTATTCCCTTCTTCTGGTGGCATGCTAAGACTGTACAGCTTGCTTTATGCCACACAGACTGGGGCTTCTCCCAAGAAGTACAGCAGGAAATCAAACTCCTGTCCCCTGGCTCTGCAACTTACTGAGCTACTGAGCCAGCTAGTGACAATAATTTTACGCTAACAAGTGAATTCTGAGATATGGAGACCCTTGCTGTTGACTCCTATCTACAAACTAGTCAGAAGTGGTTTCTTCCTTCTTTGTGGCAGCTTGCCCAAGGCTATGTGTATAGGCTGGCTCTTCTCCTGGAAGGCACAGTGGGGAACTGAACTCCTGACCCTGGCTCTGTGGCCAGGTACTCCAGCTCACATGTAGCTGTGCAATGGAATTTTGCCCAATATGCAACAAAACAAAACAAAAAAAAAGCATGCTGATTATATAGCCTGCCCACCCACCCCCCAGTGCTTCAAGCACTCTGGGCAGTTTACATGTTAATTATGCAAAAGGCAAACCAAACCAAAGCGTGCTACTTATATACCACCCCATAGCACTTCAAGCACTCTCTGGGCGGTTTACAAGTTAATTATGCAGGCTACACATTGGCCCCTCCCCCCACGAGCTGGGTCCTCATTTTACCGACCTCAGAAGGCTAGAAGGCTGAGTCAGCCTTGAGTCGGCTACCCGGGATTGAACTCCAGGTCGTGAGCACAGTTTTGTCTGCAGTACAGCACTTTAACCACTGAACCACGAACAATGTATTATTGAAAATGTTTCTTAGAAGTCTCGGTAAATACACTGTTTTCATATCAAGGTCTAATAAGTAACCTGATTCCCAATGGAATAAACAGGAAAGGGTGAGTTCCCCAAATTATAACACCAAGGGATTCAGTGTGTGTGCATTTTTACATATTCCTTGAACCTCTACTGTATGCCCTGGCTCACTTGCTGAAGTGATCTGGAAGGTACAGTATTTGTTTTGTGAGCACGTGGCTTTGGAGGGCCTATTCTCTGCTTGTGGCAAACTGTGGTCTTGACTGAGTAGGATGAAGGGGTATTTGGGGGTGGATGATCTGTAGTTTCACGGGATTAGCAACTGTCGTCCCAACTGCCCTTCTATGAGCCATTAATTGAAATAATTATTGGATAGATGCCACATCGCTAAGACAAACTACAACATCATATTTATGTGTCACCTAAAATTTCTAGTACATAATTGAAATTTGCCAATTCTTCCAGAGTGGGAACAACATGAAAAAGACTGGGAGCTAATGAGGAATTGCTGTACCTCCACCCCACTCCCCACATTTCTGTCTGTCTTCTGTGTCCAGCCTTGGTCACCCCACGCCTTCCAAATTTGCAACCAAATAAGCTAAACGTGTCCCATCAATCATGTACGGCTCCCACAAGGGCTCACAGCTTTGTCTCCTGCCCGGGACAGCAAAAGCAAAACTGATTGCCAAATACCTGGCAGTCCACAAAATACAACCAGGGGGTTGTGTCTAGCTTGGTGGAATAGAAATTGTGTAAGCTGGGCAGCTCCAGACATGGCCCATCCATTCTGTAACTATGTTCCAATTCTGGAGCCCCGCTGAAATAGCTGCGATCCACTGGGTAAATCTGACTGATTATTCAAGAATGCAAATCTCTCTGAGAGGTATCTCCTACTCTGCAAGTGGTGTGCTCTCACCTGGAAATGGGAGTAAGAAAATGAAGGACAAGTCCTTAAACAAGAATTGGATCTTTTCTTCGGTATGCTGGTGGCAGGCATAGAACCTCTCATACTGCCCTCTAATGGCAGGGAAGAGAGACACATGGCGATCGGACATCTGTAAACACTGTAGGGCCGGAAAATGTTCTTACCTGACATACTGCTTTTCACCGAACATTGGCTGCTTTTTCTTTTACGTTTCCCATCCGGCCACCTAGAAAGAAGAGAATTGGGGTGAGGGGAGGGGAAAAAAAGTGAATTCATGATGGAGAGAGAATCCAGAAGATTCAAGCTATCACGCCTCTTCCCCCTCACGAAAGCCTGATGGAATCGTACCCCCGCCTTGCGATCCCCTACCCCCAAAGCTTTCCCAACCACCACAGTTTACCCTCTCGCTCCACACAGCTGCATTTCCACACCCTTTAAGAAGCCAGGAGGCAAGGGCAGTACATGTGGACTCTCTTTATGTTATCTGAGACTAGCAGAAGTGGTTGGGGGAAGACGTTTCATCACACGCACAATGCACGCACGCGCGCACACATGTAGGGCTAACCTACTCTTGACCTAGGATTCCCATGCTATCCTTCACGCAGCCTCTGAAGCGCTGCCCCTTTACTACACTCACACCCGAAGAAAACCCACTGTTAACATGGGCCCTGTGGTGGATGTTGGAAAAGGGAAGCCAGTTCATAAGCAGCAACTCGGAACAAACTAAGCCAGCCCAACTCACCCTTCTTATACTCAAGTTTACAGTGGTTTGAAAAACAAGTGAAGTAGGAGTTGGTTGTATTGACACTTGATTTATGGTCCTGCACCCAAACCCTCAAAAGGTTTCTTTTTCGGACTGCCATCCAGTGGCCATGCTGGCTGGGGGATACTGGAAGGCACTAAACAAAAAAGGGCAACTTTCCCTGTCTCTGCTTGTATTCTGCCATTTGACCAAGGAATCCAGAGTGACCCTGTTTTATTCTTACAACAAACCTGTGAGATAGATTAGGAGTGAGAGAAGCAACTGAACTACCCACCACAGATAGGGAATGGAATACCCCACTAACCACAGAAATACACTGGCCCTGAAAGTAGGACAGAAATGCATGGCAACGTACATTTATTGAGTGTGTTAACTGAACTCTAGGTGGTATGTGAAGACAGAAAGGTAACAGACCATACTATGATGGAAGAACTTAGAAAACTCTTCTCCAACCCTAGATGCATTAAGTTACAGCTCTCAACTTCCCCAGCAGCAGGGCTACTGGACATGCTGGCTAAGAATCTTGGAAACTGTTGTCAAACTCAGACACACTGGGATATGGGAGACTGGCTCTGAAATTAAAAGAATACATACTGTGTTTTCCCGAAAATAAGACAGGGTCTTATATTAATTTTTGCTTAAAAAAAAGACATTAGGGCTTATTTTCAGGGGATTTTTTTCATGTACAATAATCTACATTTATTCAAATACAGTCATGTCATTAACTTCTGGTTGCTGCACAATGATAGAAAGGGGGTTTCACTTAACTGGGGCTTATTTGGGGGCTGGGGCTTATATTACGAGCATCCTGAAAAATCCTACTAGGGCTTATTTTCAGGCTAGGTCTTATTTTGGGGGAAACAGGTGGTCATGTTCCTGGTTCACCTGGTATTCAAGCAGAGTATTGAGGTGTGTACAATATTGTTTGAGTGCATTTAAATAAGAGCTGACTGGATTCTGCACATTAGAACATGGATAATATAGCCATTTTTTTAAAAAAAATATCATTATTAAAAAGCTGAGTTAAGCTATTTACAAGTTTAACCCAAAACAAATCAGCCAAGGCAATCTTTTCAAGAGCATCTCTTGCCCAGTGATAGGAAATTAGCTGCTAAACAGCCTGTGAATTTTACAGATGAGCAAATGCTTTAAGCACAGAGTTAAATATGTTAAGAAGCTGCATTTTTTCCTCTTTTTTTCAATATGCAAGTCAAAGAACTAGATTCTTACTGAAAAAACAAATTATTGCAGAAAAGGTTGTTTTGAAAACAATAGAATGAAATTTAGCAGGGATAAGTGCAGTTCTACAGCAGGAGTGGGTGGGGAATCAAACACACAGTTACAAGATGAGGGATACTTGGCTCAAAAATACTATGACCAAGAAGGATCTTGGAATTCTCGATCGTAAGCTGAATATGAAGCAACTGTGTGATGTGGCCGCAAAAAAAGCAAATGCTTTTTAGGCTACATTAACAGAAGTATAGTTTCCAAACTCTGTGAAGTACTTGTTTTCCTCTAGTTGGCATTCATTGGGCCTCATCTTGAGAATTGTCCAGTTCTGAACAACATACTAAGAAGAATGCAGCAACAAGTTCAGAGACGGGAGATCAGGGACCTGGAAACCAAGTTCTAGGAGGAACAACTAAAAGAACTGGGCATGTTTAGCTTTGAGAAAAGAAGATTAAGGGGAGATAAGATAGCACTTTTCAAATTATTTTAAATGTCTTATTAACTAATGAAGGCTTGGGCAAAGGAGAATGATGATGAAAAATGTTCACATCCCAGGACACAGATGCCTCTAAGGCTTAGGTGCTGGTGCTAGAAATGACCTCACAAACACATTGTTTGTATATGTATGGTATCGATTTGTACAGATATTATACACAGACTGATAACGATTCTGATAATAATACTAATAGTTTGCTGTCAAATCAGTTCTGACTTATGGCAACCTCTTTCAGGGTTTTCCAGGTAGAGAGTACTCAGAAGTGGTTTACCATTCCCTTCTTCTGGGAGCATCCTGAGACTGTGCAGCTTGCCCAAGGCCACATAGACTGGCTCTTCTGAGATGCCCAGCGGGCATTTGAACTCCCAACCTCTGGCTCCAACGCCAGATTTAGGGTGCACTAACACTACTGAAATAAATCAAGTGATAGATCAGAGTTTCTGAATTCAGTTTACAGTCAAGTGATAGTCATGTGGTTTTCAGGTCAGTGTGGGTATCCTCTTGGGAAAACTTTTAGTTTGTTTTTAAAATGTGTTGTCTATTGGTTGTGAGGACTCCAATCATTGCAGAATGACACACTGTTAGAACAGAATGAGGGGAAAAAAGGAAGGAGCAGCAGTCTGGGCTGAAACTGACCAGAGACATTGACTAGGCTTGCAAAAGAGGGAGAGACACATGCATAAACACAAACCATGGAGAAGGAGAGAGCACATGGAAGGCATACCAGTAAGTGGTGAACCCCATAGACATAATGTATACCAACAAAGCTGTTCAAATATGTCAAAACAGTCGAAAATAAATTGATTTCATAAGTGATTTAAAATAAATGACCCTCTTTGCAGCCAAGTAAAATATTTTGTTTTCCCACCAAAACACATACTTTCCAGGCAAAAAAAAAACAACCCTGGGCTTCCATGCATGTCACATAGTCACCTTTTAAAAAAATTTCAAACATGCTAAACCCAATTCAAAAACAGTTTTTCCCCACATGTAACTACAGTCTCCCTGAGATATCCAGCCAGCTAAAGACTCTGATATAGATACTAACACAACTACATCTTCTAAAGATACCTACTTATATGAGTACATATACAGACCGAATGATTGTTTTCTTATCTTTTCGGCAAAAGCTGAAATATTTATTATTCAAATATAAAATATTCCCTTGAAACAACATATTTTTGCAATTTTACAATTTAAAAAGAACAATGACTTTGTTTGGGGATAACAATTGGGTGACAACCAAGAGGTCGGTATTGTTTTTTTGTTTTTTTGTCACAGCTGAAGAAGGTTAAAGGGCCAATTTCTTGTTGAAGAGGAAGTTTGGCTATATTTATATCTGATGTCACTTCCCTTCCACTTCATCTTTTCCCCCCCTTGGCTCAACATTGCAAAAGATTTTTGCATGCTTGATTTCATTTTTTATACATTTTTTTTTGCAAAGGCCACTGAGTCATATTTCCAAATGAACCACTAACCAACTACCCCAGGATGACCCATATGAGACCTGGCCCTTACTGATTCCTTACTGAATCTGTACATAGAAATATAAATGATTGGGTTATACATGGAATGTCAACAGAGAATGTCTACTGCATAATACTTAATACATGGTGAGTATATCATATTAAAGAAATGATTTGAATTACAACCTACATGAGTTACACAGAAATAACATAGTAGATACAGAACACAGAAATAACATAGTGGATAGTACAGAAGTAACCTTTTCTCCCTAATTTTATGTGGCACTCTGCATGTATTACACTAGGAATCAGTAAGGGCCAGGTCTCACATACAATGCCTCATATTCAAACTGGCACAACCCAACCTTTCCTAACTTATTGAAAGGGCATCAATCATCTTGTGGCATATTGCTCTCCCCACTTCCATTCCTATTGAATAGGAAAGCAATGGAAGCAATTCTCCCAAAGCCAGGATGGTACAGTGAGTGGTCCAAGCTGGGCTAGAACTGGGGAGACAGAACTTCAAATATTCACTTGGCTATGAAAGCGACTGGGTGGCTTTTTTCTCAGCCAGACTGCTGTGAGAATAAATATAGGGAAGAAGACCATATATGCTACCTTGGAGGAAAGGCAGGGTATCAATAGAACAAATAAATAAATTCAATGTTCTGGAGAGGGAGGAAGCAGGGTTCAGATATTCAGCCTAAAAAGGAGCTGGGAATTTCCCACCCTATACAATAGGCGTACGGGGGACACACAGTGATGGGTGATGTTTATATCAGCTTAACTTCCAAACAATTTTAGGATTAATTGCAAGCTGAATAATCTCTCTCCCCCTTCAATTTCAAGAGGATTGGGGGGGAAGGGAGAGAATTACATTCCAGAAGGCTATGTGGATTAGGCATGAAGGCTAGCTCACATGGGGGAGGGTTGATTAATAGACAGGATTTCAAGACACATGTAATATTTTCTGAAATGACTGTAAGCCAGTCATCAGGGTTTGCTCTTTTTAGTATAAATTTGTCGGGGAGGGGGAGGTGGGCTAGTCTGTCTCACTGAACGCAGCCAAGAGGGTTTAAAGACTAACCCACTTTATTTGGCATTATTTTCAGTATCATTTTAACATATTTATTGAACACCACCTAAAATTGAGGCACTTAAAAAAAAAACAGCAAACAAGCATACTAATCAAGCACCAAAATGACCAGAAGCCATGCGTGCCTTTTTCTTGGATCTCCCCAAAATCCTACAGTGACTGATATCTCTATAGC